GTGACTGAAATCATGCCCAACCTCAAAGCCATCTTTACAAAAGCGTACTGGACATTTGCCATTCTAGGCATTGTCTGGGCCGCGTTTGTGGGCCTATTGGTCAATCCCACGGTACAAAGGCAGTACGTTTTGCTCTCATCATGACAGATGAGATGATGTTTGGAGTCGATTCTAATGTCTTCTCAGCGCTCTCTATGCCCATAAATTTCACACGGGGTTCTACCACAACGTGACGAATCCTGAAGAATTCGGCTTTGCGAGTAAGTGCATCTGTAACTCTTCCTCGGCTTGTTCTATCGCTGTACTAAGTACCCATGTGTAGAGGGGCAAGTACAACCCTTTTGGCTTACTACAGCGGATCAAGAGAAGCTCTTTTGCTGGCATGTACTTCCTCTAGATGTTTATCTGGAGAATGAACATGAGCTTTTTACTGCTGCTGTTTCGGGGGAAGTTGCAGAGGAGTTGAAGGGAACGATAGGAGAGAAGCTGTTGAGCAGCGACCCGGAAAGTAGGGTTGTGGTCAACTTTCATGGTGTAGGTTGTGCTTTCTTTCGATTCTTGACTTTCGGTTTGGCATGCTGTCCCTTTCTTTCGAGAGTCTTTAGTCTGAGATGAGAGTTTGAGATATGATAAGACCATATCGACTCTTCTTTCTTAGTTTTACATGGTTTCTCCCTCATTCTTCCGTCACTTAATCCACCGTTAACTCTTCTTAATATTTCCAGCTTGTCTATCACTCATTCTAATCCACCCAAACAGAACGCTGGCCACATAGCCCAAGGTTACCGCCCCTCAACCTACCGCTCCGTCTCTGGCATCCCAAAAACTCACCTCGTAACCTGCGACTACCGGGGCTTCGGTCTCTCCACGCTCACACACTCCCCGCATATCCCCACTGAAAGCGGTCTAATAGCCGACGCCTTAAGCCTGATTTCCTACATCACCTCGGACCTCTCTCATTCAAGCACCCGCACCGTTCTCCTGGGCCAGAGCCTCGGCACCGCCGTAACAGCCGCCAGCGCGCTCTACTTCACCAATTCCACCTCCGAGCACCTCCCATTGGCCATTACATCCCCATCTGTAACATTCAAACCATCCCGTAACTTTGAAGGTTTCGCCGGCATCGTCCTAGTAGCCCCCTTCACCTCGCTCCCCCAACTCCTCAAGACCTACAAAATCGGCGGCGTTCTCCCCATCCTAAAACCACTGCAAGGCTACCCCAGGATAGCAAACTATCTATCCACTCGCATCGTCGACCACTGGCCCACCCTCACCCGCCTACGCGCCCTCATCTCCACCGCCTCAGCCAACAAGTCCGGTTTCCACATTACTCTCCTGCACGCACGAAACGACCAGGATATCACGTACTGGGAATCTGAAGCGTTGTTCCAACCACTGGCTACGCAAATGCTGACGGAAGAAGGGGTTGTGGCGGAGGAGGAGAGGAGAACGATTCAAGGGGCGAATAGGGTCAAGAGGGGTGCTTTTGCGTATAAGAAGGTCGAGGACGACAAGGGAGATAGGATGGTGGAGTTGGAGGTTGTGAGGTATGGAGGGCATAATGAAGTGGTGGGGTGGACGCAGGTTAGTCTTGCGATTAGGAGGGCGTTTGTGAGGAAGACGATGAGGCCGGGGTTGGACGTTGAGTAGGTTTTGGAGGAAGGGGTAAGTTACATTGGTTCTACCTGGGTTTGTTGAATTGAAGAAGAAGACGGAGAAGCAGCTGGATGGAGCTGGATGGAGCTGTTGAGGGGATATCATTCGTCGTCATATGGCGGCGTTGTTTACAACATTACATGTACAATACTTCTACACCTTTCTACCAATCCCACAAGAATACGCCAGACGTCCGCCAATGCAGATAAATCGATGTATGTCATCAGCCCTCGAATCATCCAGGGAGCTCGTTGTACCAACACCGAGCTTTTCCACGGCCCCTATCCTGTTTCAACTCCGATTGAGCTTAGGAGGCTAATCTTACGCATTCCTAGCCTGCTGTTCCTTCTCATACTTTGCCACAAGCTCCTTCTGCAGCTGCGGCGGCGCGGGACTGTAATGGCTAAACTCCATGCTAAACTCCCCCTTACCCTGCGTACTAGCACGCAACTGGCTGCTAAAACCAAACATGCTGTTCAAACTGCAATCCGCATAGACAGTAAAGTCCTCCGGACCAATCTCCGTATCGTTGATAACAGCATTGCGCTTATTCAGAAGACCAACAACAGAACCCTGGAACTCATTCGGCGCCGTGATGGTCGTCTTCATAAGCGGCTCAAGTACCTGAGGCGCACCGGCCTGGAAAGCTTTGCGGAAAGCTTGCTGGGTGGCCATTTTGAAGGCCATTTCCGAGGAATCGACAGCGTGGGTAGCTCCGTCGTTGATGATCATGGAAGTACCCAAAACCTTATGGCCGAGAAGCGGGCCCTTGGCTGTGGATGCCATGAAGCCCTTTTCACAGGCGAAGAGGAACTTCTCGGAGATGGTGCCTCCGGAAATCTGTTGCTCGAACTTGTTCTCACCAGCAGCTTCGCTTGGCTCCATCCAGCCGACTACTCGCGCGTAATCTCCTGACCCACCACTCTGCTTCTTGAGCGTGTGGTCGAAGTTGACGCGCTTGGTCATTGTCTCGCGGTAGGCGACTTGTGGTTGTCCGGTTTCGCACTCGACGCGGTATTCGCGGCGCATGCGCTCGACATAGATGTCCAGATGTAGTTCTCCCATACCGGAGATGATGGTCTCTTGCGATTCGGGGTCGGTATGGACTCGGAATGTAGGGTCTTCGCGCGTGAAGCGGCTCATGGCTTTGCTAAAGTTGGGTGTGTCTTTGGTGTGCTTGGGCTTGATTGATAGGGAGATGACGGGTTCGGGTACGAACATGGAGGTCTATCGTGTCAGCTTGAAGATATGATAACAATAGTCTTAAAGTCTTACCATGGTGTATCCAAGATTACCGTCAGTGAAGGTATCTCCAGACGCGCAGTCAACACCGAACACGGCACAGATTTCTCCAGCACCAATTTCCTGGATTTCCTCCATGTCGTTGGAGTGCATGCGCACAATCTTCGGTATCCTGACCTTCTTGTCTGACCTCGCGTTGAATACATTCATTCCCTTTCTGAGCGTACCCTGGTACACACGGATGTATGTCAATTGTCCAAAACTACTCTCTTCTAGCTTGAAAGCCAGACCGACAAATGGCAAAGAGTTGTATGATACCAGCTTGACCGGTGCTTCTGCTCGCTTCTTGTCCAGTGCCATGTTCTCGACTTCGGAGGGGTTTGGTAGGTAGTCGCAAACAGCGTCGAGCATTGGTTGGACGGATTTGTCTGCAAGCGCAGAGCCCATCATAACCGGGGTGAACTTGAGGGAGATGGTAGCTCGTCGAATCGCAGCCTTGATCTGGTGAATTGTCGGTTCCTGCTCGTCCAAGAAAAGCTCTGCGATCTCATCGTCGACATCTGCAAGTGTTTCGATGAGTTTCTGCCTCTTTTCCTTGCAGAGCTCAACAATATCCGCAGGTATCTCGTCGGTCTCCCTAATGGTCTCGCCCTTGGGTCCTTCGTTGTAAATCGCCTTCATCCTGACCAGATCCACAACACCCAAAAAGCCATCCTCGCGGCCGATGGGTACTTGGAGAGCCGCAGCCGGTATGCGAAGCTTCTGGTTGATCTGTTCGACAGCCTTCCACGGGTTAGCTCCCATACGATCCATCTTATTCACGAAGGAAATCCTTGGAATGTTGTACCGCCTCATCTGCCTGTCGACTGTGATGGTCTGACTTTGCACTCCGCTGACGGCACACAGGATCATGACGGCTCCATCAAGGACTCGCAGTGCTCTCTCTACCTCGATTGTAAAGTCGATATGACCGGGGGTGTCAATCAAGTTGATGTGGTATTTCTGGTCCTTTCCTTCATCGTCCTTCTTGATCCAGTCACAGAAGGTCGCAGCAGACTGGATAGTGATGCCCTTCTCACGCTCGAGATCCATAGAATCCATCTTGGCACCCACAGCATCTTTGCCGCGTACCTCGTGTATGGCGTTGATTCGGCCGGTGTAGAAGAGGACGCGTTCGGTGGCGGTGGTCTTGCCGGAGTCGATGTGTGCTGCGATGCCGATGTTTCGCACTCGCGATAGTCGCTCCCATTCGACAGGGTCTAGGTTCTCGACGATTTTCTCTTGCGTCAAGGTAGAGGGGTCTTCCTTTGCTTGCTCCAGCCTATGACGTTCAATCAGCCTTCCATTGTTCTCTCGCCGTCACAGAACAAACATGGCAGTACATACACTTGCGCAGCCGCAGACTGCCATCTTCGTTGTGGCTTCGTGGTGTGGCTCCCTATCCATGTGTCTGTCTTGGTGCCGTTGGTATAGGGCGTGCGCGTTGCCGCAATGGTCGAAAGAACGCATCGGGAAGGCGTCGCAACCGAGCGTGCTGAAGAGCGAAGACTGCTCGTGGCAAGTGATTGCGCCCGGAAAAGAGACTGAACCCTCATCTTGAACAAAGGGGCGACGCGGGGTCTGCTGTCGCTTCGCAATGTCGAATTGCCCGCCAGGAAAAAGTTGGGCCATCGGAGTTTCGGCGGAGGTGCCAGTCACGTGTCGACGTGTGCCCGCCCACCCTACCATAGGCATTGCACGAGTGGACAAGTAGACAGAAAGCCATCTTGGAGTGAAGAATGGGATTGTAATCTAATAGTGATGTCTGCCAGATTCTGCGAAGCCTATCGCTAAAGAACAACTATGCACGCAATAGTCCTATCCAAACCCACCTCCGCTCCATGTCCTTAGGTATCCGCCCGAATATCAGTTACGCCAAACAATCGCTCCAGAAAATGCTGTTGAGAAGTGAAAGAAGATGGGAGCCATACAGCTCCGCGCACATAATATCGCCCATAATTGTGCAAGATGGCATGGTACGACAACCTAAGACTTGACCAAGTGTTGCCGGAATACGACTTGAGAATTGTATACGCCTAGGTCAGAGGCATAATGGCCCTCGTCTACCGGACGGTCTCCTCTGGGAAGTTGGGTGTCTGGAGTTCTGCAACTGACGAGTCTACCTCTTGAACTGGAGTGGCTGGTTTGTGCGATTCGTGTGTTGGCTCATTGGCGATAGGCTCCTCGGTTGTCCGATCGCCATGTTCAGATTCCTTTGCGGGCTCATCTCCATCCTTGTGCTCCTCAGAATTTCCGTTCGTAACCACTGCCCTGGCCTTGGACACGACCTCTTCCGCCTTCTTCTTCCCCTTTTGTAGAGTGCCGATCTTGGAAGCGGCAGGAGCCTTACGCGGTGGTGATGACGGCTTTTCATGGGGCTTATCGTGTGTCTTGCTGGAGCTGGCGGCCGTGGGTCGCATCATGCGCTCGAGGAAGCCTCCTTTAGGAGCAGCACTTGCGGTTGAGGTGCGCGATTCAGGTCGTTTGGGCGCAGGGGGTGCGATGGAAGGGCGCGAAGTCTTTGGTGCCGGGGCCTTGGGTGTAGGACGGGTGTTGGTGGAGGGCTTGCGTGTGACCTTGGGCTCCTCGCCATGTTTGGCAGCCGAGGCAGCCGTCGGCGCAGTCAGACGGGTTGGTAAACCGACTGGACGAGTAGGAGACTTTGGGGTTGGCTTCTTAAAGCCTGTTGGGGACGTGCTGTAGCGTTATTAGCATTGGCGCATTGTCCCACGTGGCTCTGTCATACCTTTTGCGGGGGGCGGAAGTAGTGGGCTTGGGAATGGCAGGCTTCTTGTTCTCCACAGGTGCGGCCGCAGGCTTGGTCTTGGAGGCAGCAGCAGCAGCAGTGGGTGCCGTCGCTGAGGACGCAGATGTTGCAGGTCGCAGAGAGGTGCGGCTGGTCTTAGCAGTTGGAACCTTTGCGGCTGGAACCTTTGTTGCGGGGGCCTTGGCAACGGGGGCCTTGACAGGCTCCTTTGGGGCTGCGGGCTTTGTGGTCTTCGCAGCTGGACTAGGCTTGATGGTGGGTGCGGCCGTCTTGGGTTTCGTAGGGGTCTTGGGTGCTGCTTTAGGTAGCGGGCTTTTGGCAGGGGCGGCGGGAGCCTTGGCAGGTTTGGCAGTCGAGATGGCAGCGGGCTTCCTGATCTCGGGCTTCTTGAGCCCAGGAGTTCCATTGGCCTTGGCCTTGGTTACAACAGGTGTGGCTGCTTCTGAAGCAGGTTCGGTGCTCGGGGCCATTACTGCTTCAGCCGGCGCAGGAGCGGTCGCGTCGGGAACAGCGGCTTCGTCGGCAGGCGCAGCAGGTCGTAGAGCAAGCTCCTCTTGAGCACCCGTCACTGCCTTGTCTGTATTCTCGGCGGGCTGAGCAGCGGCTGGGGCCGGGGCAGAGGGCTCCTCGGTGGCAGCAGCTTCAGCTTGCACAGCTTCGGCTTCCTCTGCAATGGCAGCTTCCTCGATGACAGCGGCCTCCTCTGCGATGGCGTTCTCCTCAGCAACAACGGCGTCGTCATCGACGGCAGCGTCCAGCAGAGCAGGCTTGTCTTCGTCCACGACAGCCTCCTCGGTGGGCGCGGCAGGTCTCAGGGCGACATCCTCCTGCGCGCCTGTAGTAGCTTTGTCCGGGTTCTCGGCAGGCTGGGCAGGCGCTGCTTCTTCTGTGGACTCGGCTGGTGTCTCGTCGACTGGCACTTCTTCCAGCTCCGGAGCCGGCACAGCGATGTCGGCGGCCGCAGATTCCGGGAAGTCGGAGCCCTTCATGATGGAGCCCAGGTTGGGCATGTTGGTGGGTGTGTCGTCGCGGATGGGCGGCGCAGGCATGGAGGACTCGCGCGACGCGACGGCCTGCTCGGGCACGGCCTCGGGGATGGCGATGCTCTGGCGGCGCTGCTCCTTCTCCTCGCTGACGACCTTCTTGAGCTCGGCCAGCTCGTCGGTCCTGTCGTGGCTCACGCGGAAGCTCTCGCGGCGGGTCGCGTTGACGCTGTTGGAGGGCGTGCCCTTGGTCTGGCCGAGGTCGGTCGAGGCGTGGGCGGGCGTGGGCTCGACCGAGACAAACGAGGCGCGCACCTTGGACTTGGGACGCTCTTCGCCGCCGTCGGTCGCGGCTGCCGTGTCTGTCGGGGAGCGGCCGCGGGGCTCAGGCGAGGCAGCGGCGTTGCCGTTCTCGAACATGGCGCGGAGGTTGCGCACGCCGTTGGACATGGCTGCAGTGGGACGAGGCGAGCGTCAGTGGTGCTGGGGCGGCGGGCGTGGGAGCAGAGTGTTATAGGATACGTGGGAGATGGCCGTGGCCGCGCCTGAAACCCGGCCAATTTGTTTATGTACACGCAGTGATGGCGGCGCGACAGGGTTCTCGGGCGTTGCACAGGGAGGCTGCAACTTACAACAATGAACAATGCGGGTCAAGGGCTGTCGGGCGGCTGTCACGCTCGCGTTCAGGAACAAGGGCGGTGACAATGGGGAACCCCTGGGGACGTCGGTCGAGCAGGAAGGAGTCGCTGGTGCTCCCGAGTAACCAAGACAACTGCCCAAAGCATCATAGCTCCAGTGACGTCTGGCCTCGCCCTCGCCCAGCACAGCACAACAGTGCGCACTGCACATGCATTGTATAATCTTTCATTTCGACTCTGCATTCAATCCTCAGCCCCTGGAAGGCTCTCGCTGCACATCCGCCAGTCCTCCCTTCACTGCATACACCGCTCATTGCAAATGCCGCATCGTCTGGCAGCCGACAACGACTATCTCCGTCGGCACCACGCGAGAAAAAGAAAAAGGCTCCGATGCCATTGGCAGCTGCACGCGAATGCCACGGATGAAACGTCAGTGCCACGCCAATCATGTCGCATACGGGCGCAATTCCCTCGTAATTTCCTGGCTGTGGCCAATCAGCGATGATCCTCCTTCTCAATCCTCGTCGAGCCCGCACCTAAACGTGACGCATAGAGCAGCGCTTGAACAGCCGGACATGTTGGTAAAGCAGGATCGAATGGGTATCGAATTCAGAACATTAAACGCAGTTTACACAGGACTGTCCAAATCACCCTCACAGCTTCCACTCGCCGTCCCACACCTCAGATGCAAATCATCCGACGCAGCACCAATCCAGACTCCATAATCACCGCCAACAGCAGGAATCACCCAGTTCTGCGACACTACATCCCACACACTAAGATCCTTTCTTGTGACCCTCAGGCTAAGCGTCTGGCTAGCCCCGGCCTCCAGTTCCCTCGTCTTTTCAAAGTCACGAAGCTGAATAACGGGTGTGTCGACTGTGCTCTCGTTGGGGAACTGGATGTACAGTTGTGCGACGGCCTTGCCCGCGCGGCTTCCCGTGTTGGTGACGCTGACGGTGATGTCGTATGCCGTGTCGAATAGAGCGGGGTTTCCTCCTTGTGCGCCACCAGCTGGTAGACCAGGTTTCTGCTCGTTTGAGTAACCCGTGGGGTATGGGTATGTCGAAGTCGAGTTGCCAATCTTGGCTGCGGCATCGGCATCGTTCTTGTCGAGCCACGAGTAGAGGTAGCGCCAGATGCGGTTGAAGTTCTCTGGCCAGTACGCCTCGGAAGCCGGAGGGATGGCGGTTGAGTAGGTGGGTGTCTCGCCCTTCGCGGGACGAGCTGGCGGCGCGGCTGTAAGCCGAGTTACTGGAGTAATGGTCGCGTTGGCGAATGAGAACGACGTGTAGCTGAGTCCGTGACCGAAGGCGTACCGAGGTGTGATATTGGCCTTGTGGAAGTGACGGTAGTCGATGTAGAGACCCTCGGTAAAGGTATCCTGTGGTTGCCCAATCTGATATCCGACAAGGCTCAAAGACTGGGGGTAATCATCTTCAGAGTTGGGCAGAGTGTACGGCAGATGGCCTGATGGAGACACATCGCCGTAGAGAACCTGCATCAGTGAGTCTCCTGCTTCTTGGCCAGGCAGATGGGCGAAGAGGATCGCTTTGACCGAAGGCAGATCGTGCCATTGATCCATGAGAATGGGACCGACGGTATGTACCACAACCACAACGTTGGAGTACTTGGCTGCTACGTCCCTAATAAGCTTATCGCCATTGTGCCATAGGTTAAGGTTCGAAGAAGTCCGATCCCCTGGATTGTTCTCAACAGTAATATAGTTTTCGCCAGAGTCTGCAGTCACAAAGACGACGGCAGTGTCGCTCGGCGATGGGTTCGAGTTTCCTGGGAAGGCATCCGTGTTGAAGAACTGATAGTTGGCGCCACTGGTCTTGAAGCCGTCGATCGGGCTGTTCATGTAGGGGTATCTCGCTGAGCCAGATCCCCATCCCATTCCTAGTGTGCCTTTGTTGCATCCTTGGTCCGCGCACGAGTTTATCCCGTCGGGGTTCTTCTCCGCGTCTGTGCCAAAGATCTTCAGGGTACCGTTGGAAGACAGAGGTAGCAAGCCGTCCTGATTCTTCAAGAGTGTGATAGCATCGCGGGCCACTTCACGAGCGACCTCTGCATGGTTGCCCTGAACATCCACAAACTCATTCACGATACCTTGAGGCGAGATAAGAGCGCCTGGATAAAGAGGACCCTCGGCGTTCTGAGTGTTGGCATCGAAATTGGGTCGCGGGTAGTCCTGGTCCTGGCCCATCTTAAAGTAGGTGGCAAGAATGCGTGTGACAGCATCGTTCAAGCGGTCCACTGGGAGAGATCCGTTGAGAATGGCACGCGACTGCTCGTACATCCAGTAAGAGTTGCCAAAGAGTGGAATGGTGTGGATGTCTCCAGGCATGGACATGTCAAGTCCTGCGAGCGCCGAAGGGACACCGGAGATTTGAGCAAGCCAGTCAGACATGACGAAGCCCTGGAAACCGAGCTCCTCCTTCAATATACCGTTGATCAAGTAACTGTTCTGCGAGCATGCACTTCCGTTGACAGCGTTATAAGCAATCATGACGGCACCAACCCCGGAACGTACACCCTCAGCAAATGGCCAAAGATAGAGCTCATGAAGCGTGCGATCGTCCAAATTCGATGAAATGCCAGGCTTGACCAGGTTGTACATGCGGTACTCTTCCTGCTCGTTTGCGATCAGATGCTTGATTGTGGCTATGACGCCCGTGCTCTGGATGCCTTCGATGGAAAGAGCTCCACCAAAAGCCTGGAGAACAGGATCTGAGCCGAATCCTTCCCAGTCTTTGTCTCTGTTAGCTCAACCATCAAGGCTGGCTTCTGGGGATGCACTTACTTCTACCGCCACGCGGTTTACGTCCTAGCGGACCGACCGACGGTCCGAGATGAACGTTTACTCCCTTGCCACGGAACTCTTCGCCGATCGCAACACCACGACGATAGAGAAGATCCTTGTCCCATGTGGCTCCCACCGTGATGCCGGCAGGGAAGGCAGTGTTGTGATCCGTGTTCCTGACACCTAGAGGTCCGTCCTGCAAGCAGAGCTGAGGGATGCCTACTCTTTCTGCGCTGCCTGTGTTTCCGACGCATCTTCCCATGAAGATTCCACTACCGGCTGTGAGGTTGGTCTTTTCGGCAAGTGTCATGTTCGAAACAAGAAGAGATGCCTTTCGGTAGCTCTCAGTCCAGTCCGATGCCCATCCTCCATGGGGAGCTATGTAGAATCAGTATCGCTATGCTCGGTACAAAACTAGTCGGTCGATGTTATCTCCGATAACTTACCTGGGTAATATGGTGCCGCAACATATCCAGCTGGAACAGGATCACGTCGCTGAAGAGCAGCACCAACGGCGAGCGTAGAGAAACATAGGACAAGAGAGGGAATCATGATGAAGGAATGACTGTAGATCAGCGAGTGAGCGTCAAGGAGGACGGTAGCCTACAATTAGGCATGGGAAGGAGATCACGGTCCTTTGTATAAAGAGCCCCTGTTTGAGCCAAATCCAACCCCGCAACACCAAGCCGGTATGGATATCGCATTTCTACCAAAACTAAGCGTGCACTAGCCATGGTGTTGTATAGTGATAGACACGGTGGGTAACGCGCATGACGGAAACAGGCATAAGACCGAGTAGTATTGTCGTGCGTCAAGGCTCAATGCTGGGGTCAAGGATTTAGGCCGGCTAATGATCGGATGCTCAAAAGGCGCATGACAATCTCGGAAGGGACTGCAGCTGTTACACAACCGCTAGGGGCAGCGCCATACGCCTGAGACAACCCAACTCTTCTTAACAGAGAAAGTACAAAGAGAAACGTCCTCGCTCACGAAGAAAAGTACATGCCTAATGTATATTCAAAGTGATTGGTCTTGAATTGATCTTCGTATCTCGTGTAGAGTGCTAAGTCCAAGACTGGGGTACAAAGTCGTTGTATTGCCAAGCTGGCGGTCTCCTACAAGCTGCCTGTATAGGTGCACCACGATCCGATCCGATCGAGTGTAGATTGCGAAGGCTTTGTCCAATGCGCCACGTGCAGCCATAGCAGTCATGCGGCACGTTGCGTCGAAGCCATGATCGTAGCTGAATGTATTCGTCTTCAGCCACATCAATGGTCCCATCACATATCAAGATACCCGTTGGCTCGGACAGTGGATGAAGGGGTTGCGGGGTGGAGATGAAGACGACAAGGAGGATCGTGATGATGGACAGGGGCAAGGCGACCTCGGCTGCACTGGCGTATCCCCTTTCTGCTTCCGGCACACCCATCGAGCTTGTTCTCCGCCAACCACCGCGCGTGTGGACCTATGATCTCATGTTCAAACCACACCGGCATTATGCAAAGTAGCAGGTACCGAGATGGAGTATTGGATGCGATCTTAGCATACACCAACCGGGCTGCTGGCTCGACTCGAATCCGAGTCATCGATCAAGGCCCCGGGGCAAATCTTGCCGAGTAGGGAGACAACTGGAAGCGGTGCCGTGGAAGAGTAACCTTGCCCCTTTGAAGTGCTGAGCGGTAAACACAAACCCAATGTTTCGCTTCACAAAAATGAGCACCTACGACGTGATTATTAAATCATCAGACGCCAGAGGTACTCAACTCGTGAGAAGTCGCCCAACCGCCTGTGGCATTGAGGCTCACAGGCTGGACGTTTTCGAATGTTCGTGCAACGAAAGCAAAAGGCCATAGCGGAACTCCAAGTTCCGCGAATGATTTGGGTCTGGTAGCTATGCAAGCCCGAAGTTGATCCGACATGTTCAGCGAGTTGGGGACCAAGCGAACGCGCCTGCTACGATGGTTGTAAACCTTGGAAGCATACAGTATACTCGGAGAGGACCTCGG